CTCTAGCTTGTGTTAAGCTGATGTAAAACCACCCAGGGACAGGTGTTGTATGCCTGTTGTTTAATTTTTTTTTTTTTATTTTGTGAACCCATGGAGCTCAGACAAGGTTCAAGGGGTCTTCGTTTTTTATGTCCATCTTCCCACCTTAGCCACCACGTTGGTCCTTTATGTGCATATGCCTGGGACAGCAAGTTGATGTGATTTAATTATTATTCTTTTATGATTGAAAAATGAGTAATTTTGAACATAATGGTGATGGAATAGAATTTTTCCTTCAAAACTTTTCAGAGTAAACAAACCACACTGCACAGGTACTATAAATGGTCCTTTGTCCTGTTACCCCACAGACACAGCCATTTTGAGAATCCCTGTCTTGTCCTGTTGGATTCTGAGCCAAAGGATGAGGAGGAGGCTTTTATTTTTGTAATCACATTTACTTATTTGGGAGAGGACGTGCCTGTGTGACAGAGCGAATGCACAGAGGGCAGAGGGCAGCTTGCTGGAGTGGGTCCTCTCCTTCCACCCTGTGATCCCCAAGGACGGAGCTCAGGTCTCAGGCCTGGCAGCACGTGTCTTAACCTGCTGAGTCGTCCACTAGCCGAACGCCATATTTCCAATGACATCTTAGCTGGATTGCTGAAGCGGCTTCAGTGACCGGTGCTTCACACTCAGATGAGCTGGGAAGACTGAAGTGCTCATTCTGTCTTTATTACTACATGACTGTATTGCAGAACAACCGATTGACAACTGATGAGGGAAACTTTTCTATAGAGGTTCAGATCATGACAATAAAAGAAAGAACAAACTGTAAAAATGTCCTGATGCAGCCCCTACTGTGACAGTTGGCAAGGCAGTAAACACCCATGGGTGCTAGGATAGGAAACGAGAAAGAATTCGGTGTTTTCAGTAGACTGTTTCAAGTACTGAGAGCGTGGAGGGTCTGTCTCTGGCTGGACTCAGTGACGAGCCTCGGCATCACGAACTCGGGTGACCCCTATGTTTCCTGCCTCCTGATGTGATATAGCATGAAGAGAAATCGAATGTTGTACCCCGATGTGTTAAAGCCTTCAGAATTAAAACATAAAAAATAAGAGTATTAAACACCAGCTAAAACCAGAACCTGGGCCATCTGAAGATCAAAAGACTCTTTAAAAGAACACTATGAATTAAAAGCGAATGGATGAGAACAGCTGTAGGGGCGCGCGCATGCGTGCGTGCGTGCGTGTGCATGTCCCTTCATGTAGAAGTCAGAGGTTAACCTCAGACATTGTTTCTCAGAAGCCATCCACCTTCTCTGTCTTAGGCAGAGGTTCCCACCGGCCTGGAGCTCTCCAATTAGGACAAGCTGGATGTTCAGCGAGCCTGGATCCTCCTGTCTAACCACTCCTCCCCTGCCACCAGGGTGACAAATGTGCACCACTGTGTTTGGCCTTTTCACATGAGTCCTGGGGACTGAACTCAGGTCCTCAAGTCTGTGTGCGGAGCCCGTTACGAACTCAGCTCTCTCTCCACCCTTGGAACGGCTCTGGATCTGGAGAGACTTAACAGGCATACAAGCAAAGGTGATTTGGGATTCCTATTGGAACAAAAAAACTACAAAAACTAGGAGGAGAATTTGCAAAATTCAAGGTGGACAGGGCATTTTAAACGATACTGAGGAATTGTTATTGGGATGTGGGACAGTTTGAATATGAAATATCCCCCACAGGCTCATGTGTTGAAGGTCTGGTCACCAGGTGGGAAACTATAAGTGGGGCCTGGCTGGAGGAAGTGGGGGTTCCCATATTCTTGGGAACTGTGCCTTATTCTTAATATTTCCTCTTCCACCTCCACCTCCACCTCCACCTCCCCATCTACTACGAGGTGAGCACACCCACATTGTGGTCTGTCTCATCATAGGGTCAGAAGTTGACTTGGGCATTTGTCATTCAGGCTAGCACAGAAAATGCCTCAGTAGAGTCGAGTCCCACCTGAAAAATTCCAGGGTGAAGTCAATGTTTGAAATTCATTTTCAACTTTCAACAAAAGACAAGACCAGCAAATTACACATAGCAAAATGAAAAGAAAAAAAAAAAAGCAACATGATAAATACATGAGGATTTGCCCATTTTCACTCTTCTTGGATGAATATTTGAACTTTTAAAATGAAGAGTTTTTTTAATTGGACTAAATTCCACTTTGGTTTCTTGGCATTGAAGAATAAGTGATATTAGAGTAAAACCTTTAAAATCCCAGGAGAGCCATCCTAGAGCTGACCCTGAAACTTCACTTTCAAAGACTTTTTCCTCCCTTTGAAGTTTGTTAGTAATATGAACACTACTAAACTGGAATTGTAAAATTTATAGATAGTCCTGGAGTATATACTTTTTGTCTCTGAGTTTCTGTAAAAAATCACTGTCCTCTCTAGCTGACCAACTGATCGTCAGGAAAATGAAAAATGCACATTCACTGGGCCATTAGAAAAAAATCTAAAATCCGATTCAGTTCTCACCCCCAAAAATGAGCTATAAGGTTCTCTGAGTGTTTAATGCTTCCCACATATCAAGGACTAAAAGTTATAAATAGGCCATGGTAACCTAAAAATTTTTAACTGGAGATAAGAATAACGGGTCATCTGGTTGATCAGTTACATTTTTATACTCTGCTTGAAAGGGTATGCATGGGAAGGGTTGCGAAAATCCTTACTTTATGAAATATGTGTTCACTCTGTAATTCACCAGAGCAACAGCTCTGACTTCATCAGATCCATGAACACTTGCTGTGGGGCTTAGCTCTATGTAATTGCAAATAGACCTCTCTGGACCCAGACAGTGGTGAATTGTTTTGATATTCACATTAAAAAGAAACTAGATCCAACTAGGTGTGCTGGTAGACACCTCTAATCCTGACCTTCAAGAGGCAAAAGACTCAAGAGTTCAAAGTCATGAAAGTTAGAGGCCAGCCTGGGCTATATAGTGTCACACACCTCAGAAGGCTAAGGCAGGTGGTTATGAGTTGAAGGCTAGCCTGGGTTATATAATGAATGAGGCCCTGCCTTAAACCAGAATTGCCCATTACCCATCATTTCCTAGTTTGCTCCCTGAAATTACAACAAAAATGACTGATCCATATTCTATACAAACAACACAAAGTCTGGAAGAGGGGTCTGATAGACTGTGTCTTTTGTACCGTTGGCAAGAAAATCTTTATACAAATAAAAGGAAAAGTAAGACTACGAAATAGGGGAATTGGCTACTTTACCAAATAGTTCTTAAGTCAATCCATGTGTGGTATCTGATAAGCCAAGTATAATTAGTCTACTCTGCTGCTGACTTGTCAAAGTGGCTACTGATGGTGGCTGTAGAAAACCATCACCTCCCGCACAATGGTAGCCACGGAGGACCATAAGGCCAGAATCTCACTACCATCTGCTCAGGTTTGACACCAGGCTCTCAGAGTCGGAAATAACGTAAACTCAACAATTTCTGTTTGACTGTGATTCTTCTGGCACAAGTAACCAAGACGCACTCAAATAAACCAATGGTGAGAGAGGGTAAACCACAGGACATTAGATAAACCACTTGTTTATCTAACAAGGGAGATGACACCCGGACAGAAAATGGAGACAGGCCTCACAACGGTTGGTGGATCCTTTCCCTCTAAACAGAACCTTCTCAGGGAGCAAGAGCATATATATTTTTTAAGCCAGGGTCTCACTGTGTAGCTTTGGCTGGCCTGGAGCTCACTGTGTAGACCAGGCTGGCCTTGAACTCAGATCTGCCTGCCTCTGCCTCCTGAATGTTGGGATTAAAAGTGTGTGCCACTGTACCCAGCCAGATTGTATGTCTTGATGCCACAGAATCTCCAGCCTGAAAGAGAACTTCCTTTGGACACCAAGCTGGCCTTGAACTCAGAGATCTGCCTTCAGAGTGCTGGAATTAAAGGTGTGAACAACCACAGCCCGCCTGATATTCTTCTACACACAGAGCCAAGCGTGGCCACTCCCACAGCTTCTGAATTTGCACATCTTTAATTAAAGAGATCGCATAAACTGAGAAACTCTTTCAGGACAAATTCCGAGTTCCCAAAGGAAAAGTGAAAACAATGAGAACGAGCCAGCTCAGGCTGGGCTCTGTTCCTCATCTAGTTGACTGTACCAGGGAATGTGCTGGGTTGAAGGAATCCAGACCTCCCTCATGGGTGAGTGTGATCCTCACAGGTGGAGCTCCAGCCTGCACAGACAGACCCATGTTTCAGTCCTCCACTGTGCTCCCGGGCAAATAATCAAATGCTGACAGTAATGTTCTCGTAGGGTGTTGCAATAAATTTACAGTAAAGCGAAAATACGAAATCAGCGTAGAAAAAATTAGTAGTTTCTCTATTTACCATTAATGAACTTGTCATTTGCAATAGCTTCAAAGGTGGCGGGGCTCCTGAGATGGCTCAGTGCCTAAAACACCTGCCATGCCAGCCAGTCTTGTGAGCTCTGGACTTCAGACCCCGGAACCTACATGAAATGGGAGTGGCGGCATACCCGTGATTCCAGAGTTCAGGAGGCAGAAGCGGGGCTCCCTGGAGCAGGCTGGCTACCTAGACAACTGGTGAGTTTAGGGTTTGATTGAGAGATCCTACATGGATGAATAAGGTGACTAGTTGAGGAAGGCATCTTCTGTCAGTCTTTAGCCTCTCCATGCACATGTACACACACACACACACACACACACACACACACACACACAGAGACAGAGAGAGAGATGCACACAGGTCTCTCTCTCACACACACATACACACACACAGAGATGCACACAGACTCACATACACACACAATTAAAAATAAACATAAAGAAGACATTAAGAATTGAAAGACTTCTCCTCTAGTTTCTTATATGGTTTTTAGGTAGAGTGGAAGACAAGCAACTCTGAAATTCTGATAGCTGATAGAACAGTTTGACCACAAGTCCATTCCCTCCCCTGAAAGATGATCTTCTGAACACAGATTTCTGACAGGAATCACTTCTTACCCTCTTTCTTTTCTGTGATTTGCTGACTAGAGCGTCCTGCATAATGGTGTCGACTCCTTCCCATCAGAGCTGCCCGCACATGGCATCATGGTCTGTAGACAGTTCCCACTCAGGGATGTAGAATGGAAAAGATGGAGAATGAGCTGGAACATCAGGGCTCATAACAGTGATCCAGAGTTTCCTGCCAGATGAACAGCACAGAATGTTGGTGACCGGGGCCATCAAATCTACCCATTCCATGGGTTACAGGAAACTGAAGCATCCTTCAGAAGACAGCTCCGCCCTGGAGTTAGAAGCAGTGGCTTTTACTGAATCTACTCTCCTTCCAGCCCGGAGCATGTGGATGGGTGGGGTGGTATAGAATTCTATGTCCTTTGGAAATCCAGTGGCTTCCCAGGCCCTGTGGATTTGGAAGCTCCGAGAGAGAAAGAGGAGTGGAACGGTAATGTGGAGAGAGTTCAAGTCAACAAAACATCCCCATGTCTAACGACTTGACCCCGGGAGGGCATGGGTGATGTTAGGACTGTTCTTTCTTGTGTACCACACTGCCTTGCCTCAGTTTGTAGGCTACACTTGGTATACCAGTTTCTTTCCAGGGTTTTATGGTGAGAATCTTGGTACATGTGGAATCCCTGTATCTCTACTAACCAACATCAGCCCCCCCAGCTTCCTTACTCCATGGAAGACACAGACTTGGGTTTGAGAGAGGAGCCGGTTAAACCGGCAAAGGCCCATCCTTTTACTGTGCATATTCGACAGCCTTTTCTAATTTTGGATTCCTGCTTCAGTAGACACATGGGACATTCTTGAGAGTATCTTGGCAACCTGTGCCCATGTTCATGCCTGAAGGTGCCTAGCCCCAGGTTGACTAATCCACTTGTCTAAATTACATGTTAGATGATCATGGGATGGGCTGATTGTATGCAGTTCAGGGCAACTATGCAGAGCCTTTTTACATCTCCAGTTACACGAAGCACATGTCAGGATAAATGGACTGACTTTTGCTACAAGCTTTTGGCTCTGCCTCCAGAGAGCATCTCAGCAAGAAAATAGAATGTGAGCTGAGTACGCGAGATGCTTTTCTCCCAGCTGGACTTGAAATAGAAGAAGCAAGGAAGTCTAATGGGCCCTGCTCTCTGTGCTCGGGCACACTGGAATCTGCAAGACCAGGAAGGGAGCCTAGAGGAAAGACGCGCACTAATAAAACTTTCTCCGTGGCCTTGGAATGTGGTTTCAGATCTAGCCACATAAGTAGGTCCCCATCTGTTCTTAAGTTCCCTCTCTAAGGAAGGGAGCAGCTTGGATAATGGATATAAAATGCAAATATCAGTGAATGGATTGAGGTTGCCTGTATCTCGAAGGAAGAATCAAGCAGCATTTTGGGGTCCCTCCACTACAGGTCTGCGCATCCTATAAATTACATCAGACCTGAGAGACTGGCGAGAATTCAAGCAAAGACTGTGGCATCTCTGGTGACTGCCAGAACTGACAACCGAGACCAGGGCTGGAGAGTGGAAATGCCACCCTCCGAGGAAAACAGCAGTTCCCTATAAGCAACTCATCATTAGCAGAAGTGTCTGTATGGTGAGACTCCACCAGTGGCCTAAGCTAGAGAAGACCAGCGGTGCCTGGCACCACAGAGAATCTCCGTTGCCCCGGGGGTCTCAGCCACTAGGTGACCTATTTTAACCCTGGTTTAAAAATAGCCCTAAATGGATCGATTCCTTTTGCAGTTCCAGCCTTTGTGGATGCTAGACCTCCAGAGCTGTAACTCTTCGAGTCTTGGCAACCCTGAACTGGGACCCCAATGCAGTCAAACTCAGATGAGCCTGCTCCTTGTAGTCAGAGCCGTGGACTTCACAGAAGCAGCTGTGTCCATCACCAACTTAAAGCCCTTAGCAAAGGCCAGCAAGACTGACAACTCTCAGGGCCCCTGCCCTACACAGACAGCTGGCAGGATGCTAGTATCTCTGAGGGCAGGCAAGCAACAGTGCCCTTGAACTGGATGGCCCTCACCAACCACAAAGATGTGGACAGCACAGGCTAGACCCAGAAGAATCATTAAACCCCTACATGACTTGATGGTTCTCCGACTTCCCAGTCTGAGACTGGGAGTGGATTGGGTAATGTCATGGCTGAAGAATTTTAATGGGGGAAGAGAAAGAAAGTAACAGCAGATAAAAGAGAGAAAGCACAACAAAGGGAGGATGTTAGGACGAGAAAGGCGTCAAAGGAAGGCACCAAAGCTGCCTTTAACTCACTGTGAAACCCAGAGAGCTCAGTTCACCAGCAGGAACTGCCTTTCCCCACACTCTGGACCTTTCTGCTGGTCATGCGCTAAGTCCTCCAGAGTGCCCCTTCTTACCCCTGAGTCAAGGCGGCTTTGGAATTGACTTGCAATATGCCTAGAGAAAATACCCTAGAGAAAAACCAAATTCTTCAGAATGAGGTGCACAGGTTACACATCTATTATACCAACCCCCGTACCCCCCTTCCAAGCTATGGGTGTTTAATGAAAGCCCCACATCTTCTCAAAGTATATGACTGTTGTCCAGTTTCTGGGCACGTTAAACCTACTCTCAGAAACACAAGCGTATCAAAAAGGATGTGTACAGTGATGCTATCTAGGACCATGTGGTAGACCACTGCACTTGCATAGCCCAGTGACACTATCAGAACAGGACACATACTGCCCATGATGCTGGCTTCCATTGCACGGAACCCTGCTGTCTCTCCAGTGCCCTGACCCCGTGAGCCGGAGGCCCTGACTAAAGACTCTGGACACCAGCTCAGTAAGACCCCTTTTACCAATCCCAGGCAGCAACAGCTTAGGCGGCTGAAAGAAACAGCACCACATCTATAATGTGACTTAGGAGCCCTCAAAGATACCACCAAGAAATTAAGGTACTGTGGCTCTCCACCCCAACCTCAAAGCCATGTGTGTGGTATGGTGGTGCAGTAATAAGGTCTGGTTTAGTTGATTAAATAATCCCACAGGGGCCATGCTCTTGAAAGCCTGTCTGACTTCACGTCATTGCATGAAACCAAAGGAACATGGGAAAAACAAACTCTGCAGGGAAAGAACGCCCCCAGGAAAGGATGGGAGGAACAAAGAAGATGAGGAAAGATGGGGGGCAGCGGCAAAAAGGCTCTGAGGATCACAAACAGGTCCTCTTGTCCTTCTCTGTTTAGGCAAAGAAGCTAACATCATTTTTGCACATCATATCCACCCACATCTATTCAAAGGATCGATAATCTCTGGTGGCTACAAAAACCCCATCAAGGAGCAATCAACTCCAAATACCTCACTCTACTCCTGGTACTTACGCTAAGCTAGGCAGGCTTAGTAGGTAAGTAACCTGCATTGTGCTATGTTTCTTGGGGGCTTGGAGCCCTGGTTCTGGCTATCTCGGTGGGTATTTCTATACTGTTAGTACATTCCCAAATACAGTCTGGCCCAAGCATCTTACTTAAGCTTTCCATACTGTCCCATAGGTTAAAGAGCAGCCACAATCAACCACAGGATTCCAGAGCATAAGTGACCCGGTTCTTAAAATCAAACATGCCTCCTGCGTATCAAACTACTGTCATTATTTTATTTTAAGATTCCATTTTTGTAGATTAAACACTGTCTATCTGGCAATTAGGGGTACATTTTTGTGTTCTAAGAAAAACAAAAACAAAAAACGAATGTCTCTAAGAGGGTCATTTTTGCTCTTTCGTTTTTTTTCACAGAATTGGACTAAATCATGGCAATTAGTGTAACGGAAATGTTTACAGCAATCTCTGATGGCAGCTTCGCTAATGTAATGATTTAGCTCAAGCCCAGTAAAACATGAGCCTGTATCATCAGGATGAATCGGAATCAAGAGCAAAGCAACTTTGTGCTTACAGTAATTCAACATACATCATCTCATCAGCAAAGGCAGCTATAAAATTAAGGATATACAATTAGTCAATCAGACGGTTCCTGAATTAATTAATTAAGCAAGGAAAATTAGCAAGCAAGGACAGGACCACATCCAACAGCATGCTTCCCTTTCTCAGAGCAACCCTTTCCATTAATTTTGATCCAGTTAGCCCACACACCATAGGGTTCCATCTCTACCAGGTAGAGTTAGGGATCAGACTCTTCCAAACCAGCCTCTGCCCTGGTGGTGGGTGAGCACACTTGGTCCCTGGGCTGCATTTCCACCTCTAAGAAGGTTTTGCTTTCTTCTCTGCCTGGGAGAGCTGTGCCATGAACAACTCCTCAAGAGTTCAGACAAGGCCTACCGTCACAACCATGGGAAAAACAGCCTCAGAGCATTCTCCGTTAGAAAACCCGGTGGACCCAGGCCTTAGGTTTCAGTATGGGAGATCTAAATAGACACAATTCTCAGATCCAGTCTGGAACTAAAGAAGAACATTTTATAATGATAAAAGAAGTGCATCATGGTGTACCTAACCGAGTTTTACAAACAAGGGAGCAAAAGCCAACAATTAATGAAGGAAATCAACAATGGCACAATCATTGTTAGGGCATTTGATTGTGTCCAGCTGCTAAAGATCACGCCGCAGAGAATGATTGCTGACCTACGAAAATTTGATACTATATTGTGGAAAGCTAATCACAAAGTGATATCCCGATTAAAGTATGATCCCAATTTTTTTAAAAGCATTTATATTGAGTTATATGTGTGCAAATGAAAAATCATTAATAGTGATTATCTCTGCGGGACATATATGGGTAATTTTTACTACCTTTGTATTTTCCTGTGTTTCCAATTTTCCTTATGGAGACGTATATTACATTTATAATCACTCAAAATAATATATAATCCCCATTTTTTAAGTAGCAATTTTACTGACCTAAAAGCATGCATTATTGTTTTGACTATAGAAAACAAATCAGAAACAAGTACTCACTGCTAAATGAGCCCATGAATAAGTCACAAGAAACAGCTTTTCAATTCCTCTAATTCAATCAGCAAGAATTCTTCTTCAACTAGTACAGTTTCCCAAAGGACATTTATATTTCCTCAGAAAGACAGAACAATGTATACACTCATTTATTGTCCAGGAGTTCGGATCCATGGGAGGCGTCAGGTTGCGGGAAATTTACACACGGCAGTTACAGGCTATAGCAAAGAGGTGTTGGCAGGAAGTCAGGAGACCTGGTTCCCTCCTGGGCACTTGCCT